AGGGGCAAGCGCCGCCCTTCCTGGCGCAAAGGGGGACGCAGCCGACGCCACTTGTGAACAGCGCAAGCACGGCGAGCAAACGGCCGTTGCGCATTGCTGCTCGGAGAAATGCAAAGGGCGGGCAAAGTCGCGACTGCGTCGCGCATGCGTCGCGCGTGCGTCGCGCGTGCGTCGCGCGTGTGTCGCGCTTGCTTCGCGCGCGTGGCGCGTCCGTCGCGCGTGCGTCGCGCGCCGGCAAGAATGCGTCGCGCGCGGGTCGGGGCGCGTCGCGCGCGCGTAGCGCGTGCGTCGCACGAGCGTCGCTCGGGTCGTTCGTGCGTCGCGCGCAGGTCGCGCGCGAATCGCTCGAAGGGCGCCGCGAACACCTGACGGCGCGCGAACTGCACGCCCCCCGGGCGAAACGATCGAGGGGCGCGCGCGACAATCGCAGAAATAGCGCGACGCGTACGCGAGAACTACGAACGCGAAGAAACCAATCGACGACATGGAGATGCAGCGCGCGCGGGAGAATCCATTTCAAGCGCGCGCACCGTCAGAATTTGAACATCGGTTCGTCGCAGCAGCAATTTGGCGACGTCTCGCCCGCCGACGCATCGGGGGGGAAGAGGGGGGTGGGGCGAGGGGGGGGCGGGCGGAAAAGGGAACGGACGGGCGAGGAGGGGCGCGCGGGGGCGGCGCAGCGGCGGCGGGAGCGATGGAAGGCAATCGACGGGGATCGGCGGGAGCTAGGAGGGCGAGAGGGAAGTTCAGGGAGGGTGGAAGGACAACGGGGGGTGAATATGGAGGGGGACAGGGCGACAGCCTGACAAAATAACTGAACACACATTTCGCAAACGAGACAAAACGCGCAGCGCGTTGGACGAGGGGAAGAGGAAGGAAGAGAGGGGGGGCAGGAGGATTGGCGCGACGCGACATGGAGGCGCGGGGCGCGACGCGGCGTGGCGAAGTGGCGCCGCGTCGCGCGACGCGACGTCACCCCCGCCGTGGCGCGACGCGCGCAGCCGCCAATCAACGCGAGGCGTCCTCGCCCTCGGCAACGGTTGGCGCCCCCCGAAAATACGCACCAGCGAATCCTCTTGCGCCGAATGGGAAACATAACGCGTTGGTGGACCGTCGGACTAGAGTGCGACGCGACCGCCAAAGTGGCCGCTGGCGCACAGGCATCGGAAACCTACAAGCCGCCAGCGAGATTCCGAAGTCGCGCCACATGTCGCCCCCGCACTCTGGGAGGCCGGGATGCGGGACAGAGACGCAAACCAGGGCCGGCGCACGGGCGACGCACGGGCGACGCACTGAACGAAACTTAGGGGGGGTCGCGGCCTTCACACTCGCAACAGACAGCACGCGGTCGGCAGTCGCGCTCGGCGCAAGGAACAACAAATCGAGCAAAGGCGAATGCGTTCGACTGGGTGTCGTCATTGGGCCGGGCGCCCGGCTCCATGTAGGTCACCAGTTGCTCTTCTGGAACGGCGCGAAGCGCGTTGCTGATGATGCGCTGCTGCGCTGCGCAGAACTTTACCAATAAATCGCGGTTCGGGCAATCCACTTCATGCGCTGCTTCGGATCCGAAAGCACGCAGTCCAAGCGCGCGCTCTTCACTGCATCGTTGCTGGCCAAGCCGCGCGTGAAAATGCCCACGGCTAAATTCGAGCCCGTTCACAGGTGCACTATTTGCGACCTTCTCCAGCTCAAGACAAATTTGTAACATTTCGGGCAGTTGTCGGAGGTCGAGCGGGGCGTAGCCAGAGAAGAGCGCGCACTTGCCTTTGGCCCCTCGGATTTTCAAGCACGCGAGGCGGCCGGGGCACTGGGGGGGGGAACAATCAAAACCAACAAACCAAAAACAAACAAAAAAATGCGCGAGAAATCGCGCGAGGTGCCGCGATGAAACCCACTACTGACTTAGATTTGGTCTCGTCGCCTGCGTTCTCCAAGCCTGACAAAACAACGCTACAACTCGCATAATACTCTGCTTTCGAAGTTCATGTCTCCTGAAGGCAAAGAGAAACCAATGCCCCAAGCACGCATTGCCTGGCCGAGCGCGCAAAGCTTCTCGTCGGTCAGGCCGGCAACATTCCGCGTAGCCGTGCGATGCGCCGGATCTGCGCACCAGAGGCTGTGCGCGGGCGCGGGCATTCCGGCGGCGCTGAAAAATCATCAGGTGAAACTGCGGCCTCGCCCTCCGGGCCCCGTCACTTCCCAGCGCCCATCCCGCCCCCTTTCCCCTCGTCTGCGACGCGGCCCAGGGCTTCCTTGCAAGACTCACAAAGCTTCTTGATTTCCGCGTCATTGCGGTGGTCTGTCCAGTTTTCCCATTCCAAACTGGGCCACCTGATCTGCAACGCACCACGGACGGAGCAAACTGATAGGATAACGTCGCCCCCCGCTTGCTTGGAGAACGTCGCATCGTTGACCTGGATCTGTTTGAAAACCAATTGCAGTCCAAGCCGTTTGAGACCAAATAAAAATCGAATTGGGATCCGACTGTTGGTTAGCTTATCCCTGTCGCCCAAATCCTTTTGGTAGTATGGGAAAACGGGGATTTGCGCAACGTGCTCAAGGTCGTCTCCGCGTCCGCGTCACTGCTCATCTTCGCGTAGATTTCGTGTAGATTTCGGCCGGCGCCACTGAAGGCCACTCCCTTCGTGTAGACTTCGGCCGGCGCCAGCGCAGTCAGCTTGTCGAGCTCCTCCTTGATGAATGTGCCTGGCTCTGCTAGCGTTCCCAACTCGTCCAAGTTCCCAGACATGATGGTGTCGGAGTCCGAATTACCGTGCGTCGCCGCCTTGCCAGACTGCCGGAGAAGAGCAACTTCACGCTCAAATTCTGAAAGCTTCGCCTGCGCATTGGCATCCACGGACGCTCCGGATGCGGACGTTGCCGAAGCCGGCCGGTGAGAGCAAGTTGTCTCCAACAGGCCAACCCGTCCGGTCAAGTCGTCGATGTCGAACTTTATCGGGTTTACAGCGTCTTTCTGATATATTTGTGATACAGCATGTGTTTGAAAAATAACATGTGCTTGATGGGATCCAGACGGTGGTTCAGGATCGTCTCAAGGCCCTTAGCGGTCAGGGGCTGGTCCGCTGCAGCCTGCGTGTAATCTTGGAACTGTTGGCGTCGTGCCAGTGTTCCAGGATGTAGTGCCACTGGCTGAGGTTATTGTGTCGGGTTGCTCCCCGTCCTCGCCTGTTTGAGCGCATTCTTTATCGGGGTACCCATATGATGCTTTTCAGCCGGCATCTTGACGTAGGTTGCGAAAGACACGAGCACCCAGAAGAAACGGAAATTTGCGTGGTCACAGTGAGTGAGTGTTAGAGCGGATTGTAAGAGGAGCGGCGAAGGGGCGTGACAGGTGCAACGGCGAAGGGGGCGTGACAGGTCAACTTGAGCCTTGAGCCTTAAGCCTTGAGCCAAAATGGCTACAACGTAGTACAAGGTATTAGCTCCCATGCAGCCACCTGGCAATAACGTCCACTGGACCGCCGCGGCGGGCAAGGCGAATTCACAGCGCGATGGGTAAGTAAGAATTTCCTCCGCGCCCTTAAGGGGCAAACGCAACAAAACCCAACATATTGGAAATGTTGGTTCCAGGGCTCCGACAGGGGCGCAACACCGACCAGCGGGTGCTACTATGGTTCCGTGTTTGCAATATTTAGGAGCCACGAGCAGGAGTTCCCCCGGCACTCTTTAGGAGCAAACCCAGCACACCCAATAAAATTCAACATGTTGGGAATGCTGGTTTCCAAGGCCCCGCACCACACGGGCGCAGCACCGACTGGTCAGTGCTAAACACTGGGGCAGGATCCTGACAGGGGCCCTCCCACAAAGGCACAGCAGCGCCATGTTCTGCGCGGGCACAGAGCCCAGATGCGCTTTACGATGGGCACCATAAAAGCCCATGACCTGGACGACGAGCTCGAGGATGCGCTGGTCGAAGAGACCAGGACGACGTCTATCTTATATACGTTTCTGATCTGGCCGACTACGTCAGCGACGAAAAGGACCTGGAGGCTGAGGCGCGCTAGCAACAAAAGCGGCGAAGAAAGACACGGCAAGCGTTCGGATGCAGCTGAAAACCTGCGCAGGCTGCGTTCGGCACTTCTGGGAAGTTGTGCAGCTAACTCGCGTGTCAGGAAAAAAATTGCTGGGGTGCGAAGCTGATTTAGACGGGCTGGGCATACACACACATACACACCAGCCGCAGCCATCTGCGTCATTCATCCTCCCACAACGCAGGCTATTTGCACCAAGCTGTACCTATTCACCGCCGAGCGATGGCGCAAAATGGGTGTCACGCGCGCTGCGGAGAGCGCACAATGGTTTGTGAACCAAACAGCACCCGCCAGAGCTCTGTGGCCTGCTGGGCGGGGACACCTTCGAGTTGGAGGCCCTGCCTGCGGCTAAGAGCCCATTCCCACAGACGCGCGGAGAGTTCTGGTCCCTGGAGTCTCACAGGTCTGGCAGGGCTTATGCTCAAGAAGCTCCCGCTGCCACCGCGGCAAGCCCTGGGGAGCCCCTGGCAGCATGAGCTGCTCCCCTGCTGAGGCGGTAAGATACACGGGCACCGTGAGTGCGGCAGGGCGCCCTGAGACGGCCCCAGATGACCCCAAGATGGTCCAAGAGGGTCCTGAGAGGTCGCCAAGAGAGCCCAAAAGACCCGAACCCAGAGCTCCCCAAACAACCCAAAACGGCCCCAGAGGGCCCCTCCCCAGTGTTCCCCCCGGGGGGACACGCAGTCCACTAGTGTGGCCGCACTCTCGCTCTACACTTCACTGCACACGCGCTTCCAAAAGGTCGCCGTAGGCATCTTCGACAAGGAGCAGAGACGGAGGGAGAGATGGAGGTGGAGGGTGAATGAGGGAAGGCAGGGGGGAGAGGGGCAAGAGAGAGCGCGAAGGACAGCAGGGGAGGCAAAGCCCAGAGGATGCGGAGCGGAGGATGCCGACTGGACGCGGCCACGTTCTCTGGGGGAACCCCCGAAGCAGCTAGGGGCGCGCGGCCAGGAACGACAGGACGTCCAGGGGCGCCGCGGCCGCGGGCGTGGAGCACGGAGGGCACCCGGTGGCAGTCGGCGGGGGCGCGGCTGGAACACATGTCCGACCTGCGGGGGCTCTCTGTCTGCGGGGTCAGCAGGCCGACCGTGGCCTCTCCGCTGATCCCCAGCTCGGCCCATCTGCTCCCGCTCCGCACCTCTATACCTGCCCTCGCCATTACACCTCCTCTCGGAGAAGGCTCGAGAAGCCTGGCGGCTTTGCTGAGGGTGCGGTAGTGGCCTGTCGTAGTGCCCAGGTGGGATGGCACCCCCGGCCTGGGACCAGTAAAAATGGCCTGACGGCCGCAGCATCCTGTTTTTCGCTTCTCGCGAGACCCTCTCCTCAGGGCCGTTCCATCCATCAATCCTCCTCTCAACCTCGCGCTGGCCTGCGGAGGGCCCAATGGGGGTACCCGACAAAGAGGGGAGGACAAAACTGGGCTGCGGTCTTTGTCATCCCAGGCTGGAGGTTCCACCCCACCGCGAGAGGCCGCGACAGGAGGCGACCCAGCCTTCACCGATCAATCACACCAAGCCCTGAAATATGAAGGGATATTCCTTGAAACCAAAAAGCTTAAAACAAATTTCCCATGGGCGGAAAAAAACAAGGGTACAAGGCTCGGCCAAGTTTCTGGAGCTTACCTCGAGTGAGGGCGCCAGTCCCCCCACAGAGCTGGCACTGGTACACCCCGCGGAAGAACAACCGATGGGAAGAATCGATCTGAGAAAACAAACCGCGACACTCAGACCGGAAAAAAAAAAACATTCCGGCATCCAGGGGCTACGCCAGGGGACACGGGATCTCTGCTCAACCTGATGCTGGCTCAAGAACGTCAGCTGATCGAGCCTCGTTCGATGGTCCTGGCGGGATTGGGCTGCACGACTGTTTGCCTCCTCCTGACGGTTACCCTTGGCGGCCACACCATACCAAGACGAGGCTTGCTTAACTAAGGCGAAAGAAACCGACAACATGGACTCGAGACCCTGGAGCAAGAGATTGTCACCTTCGAGGACCTGGCGACGGGCTTCGAAAGGGGCCTGAGAAAATGTGTCACCTTCCTCGAAGCCAACTCATCCTGTGTCGTCGTTTGACAGCCCCCGCTCCGCCCCGCCCCTCCCACCACTCTCCGACACAAAGAGGACGACGATGGAGGGCAGGGTCAAGGTAGAGGTCAACCTGCTTGGGCCAATCCAGGCTCGACTCACGGGGTCAAACGCCTTCGAATTACCGATCCGAGCCTCCTGCACAGCCGCGGAATTGGAAACAAGATGGGTCATGTCATGCCAACCCTCATCATAAGGAGGTCCTGATGGGCGAGCCTACTCAGCTCGGCACCATTTTCCGCAAACGAATCCGCGGCATGGTTGCCCAGCAACTGGAGGCGTTTCAATTTCTTCCAGCGAGTCCCGCTTAGAGCAGTGAGCATTCACCTTGTGGGCGAACTTCGTCCAACTTTGCGCGCACATGCTGCAAGAGGTGCGACCGGAGATTTTACGGATCGCGGGCCAGATCGGCCGTACCACAGCAACCGACATGAAGGTTGATTCCAGGCGAGACCACAGCGTGGCGAACGAGGTAAACAATGGTGAAATCCTCACCCTCAAAAGGAACCTGGTTGGGGGCAGCGCTGCGGGGCTCACGACCCCAGATCCGCCCGTCACAACCACCGCCCATCCCGCAGCCCGAATCCGAGGCAGGGTCAGGCGGGTCCCTGAACCAGCAGGTCGGTTCAGGCAGGATCCCGCGAGCAAAAAGCTCCAGGGCCCGTGGGGACAAGTCCGACACGATGACCGACGCCGCCTCCAGGTCAGAGTCAAGGCAGTCCCTGCGCCACGCGGCGTGTGCCAGGCACCTATCTCGACGATGAAGCAGTGTCCCGCGGCCCTCGCTGCACAACAGACGTAACGGCGAAAGGTCCTGGCAGCGCTCGGCGAATCGCTGCTGACACAATTACCTGTTGGCCGTAAGGCCTCGCAAGCAATTACGGCAGTGAGCCGTCCACGAAGCCGCATCGGACAACAGCAAAAGCAGGGCTGGCCCGAGGCGCATCGGCTCAATCCACTCGATTCCAAAGTGAGCCTGGCGCGCCCGCTCATCAGCACCGGCTACAGCTTCACGAAAGCGTAAATCAAAAAAGAAGACGAGAAAAGGCTCCAAGACCTCTTGGTGATACGTCTAGAGGAACGAGGAGGAAGAGGAGGAGGAAGAAGAGGAAGAGGAGAGGGTTTGGCCTGAGATCCACAGGACACATCCGAGACTGCAATCCCTCTCTTTTCGAACCCACAGGCCTGACTCTCTTCTTGCCCCCCGCGAGCCTGCAAGGCATCGCAGGGAGAGGGCAAAGCGTCACCAAGCACGGCTTCTGGTGGCGATAGACAGCGCATACCAAAGACTGGCAGCTCATCATTCTGCGCAAGAGAGTGTCAGAAAGATGTCTATGACCTGGAGATGCCAGAACTGTTCGAGGAATGTGAAGAACTATCACAATCGCTGTCTATGCGGCCAGTACTGTAATCAGCAATCACGTCCAAGCGGCCAGAGAACAAGAAGTGCGAGCGGAGGCAAAGAGAAGCAGCAGCAGGAGAACAATATCCGAAGCTACATTCTGAAGCTCCCGCCCATGCCACACAGGGCGGCCAAGACGCACAGTGCGTACTGCCCGCCCCCAGCGAGGGCAACAGACCTCAGCTCGTCCGGGATCGAGGCAGAGAACAAGATGAAGGACATCGCCAGCATGGCCATCTTGGCCAGACGGGCGGCCAAAGAGGAGGACGCGAAGCAACACGACATGGAGCTGATGGTGAAAAGCCGTGCCTCACTGCGTTGCTCACGGTGGGGAAACAGAAGGACGAGAGAAAGTTCAAGCAGGACAAAGCGAGAGATCGACTGATAGCAACACAAGCCAGAGTACGAGATCTACGAGATCAGGAACGCGAGATCGAGATAGAGTTAGATCAGCTGGAGAGTTGCATGAACGAGTCGCTAGAGATGCCAGACGACAAGGAGGACGAGCAAATATACGCAGGTGGTGGCGAACCTGCGAACCATGGAATGGCATCGTCAACTGGGCCATCGTATGCGTCCGGTGGATTGACTTGGCCGTTGGGACCACAGCCGCAGTACATGTGGGGCGTTGCAGGCTCGATGCACCAGCAGATCCCGCTCACGGCGCAGCAGCAGTGGATGCAGCAGGCAGCGGCTGCGGCAGCGACGGCGGGTGCGGGGACAGTAGGCGCAGCGGCATCAGTTGCCGCAGCCGCGCCCACCCAGGCAGGGGATGCTGTCCAGCACGCCCATCAGCAGCCAGCAGCGCCAGCGCCGACGGCCATGGAGCAGCACCTGATGCAGAACCAGCAGATGATGAACCTCATCAGCGAGATCAACCAGCGGCAGCAGAGGCAGGACGGCATCGTGACCTCCATGCTGCAGTGGATCCATCACCAGGCTACGACCAACGTGCCGAACCAGATGCAGCCAGCTGCCGCATCGGTGGGGTTTACTGCAGCAGCGGCGGGGCCGCAGACAGGCGATGGTGGGGTGACAGAGCCACTCACGCCAATGGGCAAAGCTACATCGGGAGGGGTGTCGACGCCAGCAGGAGTTTGGGGCACGGCAACTCCCCAGAAGATGCCACCACAGCCGACGCCATCGAGTATAAAGCCAGGGCAGCGCACGTCACCACCATGGCGGGACGAAGTCAACTTATGCACGCCGACCGAGCCTGCGGCGATGGGAGGAACGCCGAGGCCATGGGTACCGACACAGCCTTTTCAGCCGCCGCCGCCACTGCAGCGAGCAACGCCCATCACCCCAACAAAGCCGATGCACGCCACGACGCAGGAGGACCCGTACCTGGCGGCAGCGGCACCGACAGAGTCAGTTACAGCAACGCGTTAGGAGGAGACGGACATCTCACAGATGACGTCGTCGCAGCTCGAGCACGAGGTGGCCAGGATAGAGGCAGCCTGTGCCGCAGCCGAGGGTGCCTGCGAACGGGCAATGGCGGGACCAGGGTCCACGGCAGCGACAAAGGCAAGCGCGACACCGAGCGGACCAGCCACTACAGACGAGGAGGTGCGCAGCCCAGCCCACAAGATCGCCAAGAAGGTAGCCTTGGGCGGCGCGTGAGAAAGCAGGTGAGCTGGGCAACAGACTTAGAAAATAATGACACTGAATTAAAACACCTGGGACCAAGTAAAGGCTCCCCAGAACCTGAATCGATTTTGGGAGGCAGAGACGTTATATCCAGAGCTGGGAGTCGAATTTCAATTAGACATACTACAAGCCTTGATTCGAGGATGGACGGCGGCCGACCAACGGAGAGAAATCAAGCGGCCGGTACATGTGCTGACGGAGAGATGTCGGGACAAGTGGTCTCTCCCACGGCAACTGTGACCAGGGCGTGCGAAGCGAGTGAGTCGTCCAGTGAGCGGGCTCCTGTGCAGGCCAACAGAGGTTCACATGCAGGGGCCTCGGCGAAGCTAAGTGAGCAAGCATTACCCATGTTTGAAGGAGAGATTGCAACAGATCGAGTTGCATGTGAGCTCGTGAGGCTTGCGGATCTCAGGTCTGCAGGCCTGCTGGAGCAGGAGGCCAAGGCAGCGCTAAAAGCCTACCTTCACTCCGACACGGTCGGCGAGGCCACTGCCATCCACTGTTTCACGGACGGCTCCCTGTATCAGAGAGGGGAGGGGAAGGGGGCATGGGCAGTAGTAAAGATTACAGAGAGGGGAGGAGAGTACACGTATGGAGGGGTGCTGAGAGGGGAACTTGCGGGCAGCAATGCCATGGGGCTGGTGCCATCAGTGGCGACAAGCACCACGCTGGAATGCTTGGCTGTTCTGTGGACGCTCATGTGGGCGATAGCTGAGAGACCTCAATGCCCGATCACAGTAGACAGCAACTCACTCAGTACAATCCGAACAGCAGCAGGGACAGGACTGCCAGCATCGGACCTCCAAATTGCGAAGCTAGTTCAGGTGGCCTGGGATATTTGCACCACCAAGAGTGACATACACATAGCACACGTCAAAGCACACGATGAGCATCCGTGGAACATACTCGCAGA